AAGAGTGCACAAAACCTTAACCTATGCACTTAGTTTGACAGTGATGTCAGTGTAGGTTCATTGATTATAGCAGGTTTCACCATCCTGGTGAGGTGTTGATGGCAGTAGTGCCTATGTGGAGACAGGATGTATATGGGAAATTTGTTATTGACCTAAAACTTCTCCAAAAGGATTTAAAAATTGTCTGATCTGAGTGTAGAAGTATTTACCAAAAAGGTAATTATAAAGGAACATATGTCTAGATTTCTACATCATTCCATTTAATGCTTATTAAAAGGCAAAGAGAAAAGTATTTTATGAATAACAATACATAAAAAACACTAAAGCTGGAGATAGTGGTGTTGCCTATAATCCCAGGAATAAGGAGGTGGAAGCAGGAGGATCAGAAGTTTAAAATTGTACTTGGCTACATAGTGAGTTCAAGGCCATCCTGAGTAAGACCCTGTCCCCCAAATAAAAAAAAAGAAAACCACCAAAAGCTAAGATATAAATGGGAGGATGGTGAAAATATATAATCATAAAGTAAAATCACTAATAGATAAGGAAGTTTCATACATATCTAAGTTACAGTGTAAACCATGGAAGCAATAGGACTTTTTAAAGTTTTATGTAATATCTGGTGTAAATATTTGAATATTTATGCAATAAAACCAAACCTTCACACATAAACCTATACTAGAAGTAAATAGAGCTCCTTCACTGCAGAGGCTGATTGCAGTCTTGTGTCTTTTTATCTTTCCCTCACCCATGCTGTCTTCACTGTGTGCTTTATTACTCGTTACAACACAGCCTCCATACATATGCATTTGCCATCAAGTGATGCGTTATTTAAATTTTGCTTGTTAATTTTTCCTGGCTTGCTGTGTTCTTTTTGTGTAGTGCTGTGATGAGACAGGAGTATACCTATAGAATGGAATTGTGGTAAATCTCGATTTCCAAGGACAATATCAGCATCAGCTAGGGGCTTATTAAAATTACTTGAAGTGTTTTGCTTACTTTTTAAGCTACAGAACTCTTGAAAACTGTTTCCCGTGTAGCTTTTACCAAAAGGAGTATATTGCATTCCTCATGTATGTTGGAAAAGACTGTCATAGTGATTTCTACACATCTTATAACCTTTCTTTTTGAAATGAAGGGCCACTTTAGGGTCTTATGGCATAGGTAGAAGAGTTGAATTTAGTATTTTTATATGGAAAGGTTAGCATGTTTGCAACTCTCCTAGGCACCTAGAAAAACATTAGATGTAAAAGTAAATGAGACAACTTTCTTAGTTGAATTAAAGAATTATTTTTAGGAATTTATAATTAATTTTATGAACAGATTACCATTAGTGCACTAAGAACAATTGTGGGACCACGTGATCCCCACTCAGAGAGGCCAGGGACAGGGACCTAGTGATCCTACTCAGAGGGGACGGGGACCTATTGATCCCCACTCAGAGAGGCCGGGGACGGGGACCTAGTGATCCCCACTCAGAGAGGCTGGGGACGGGGACCTAGTGATCCCCACTCAATGAGACTGGGGGCAGGGACCTAGTGATCCCCACCCAGAGAAGAGTGGACTGCAGAATTTGGTTTTTCCATGTTCACACAGACCTTGAGTGTCCACTAGTTTTTATGTAGAGTCTAAGAAACCAGATTCCAAAGATGTTTTCTTTTTGTTGACTCGTACCTAGTTATCATTGTTTTCCGGTATCCAACCATGTTGTTACTAGATTAGAGTTTTTGTCTTTTCTGCCTGTTGTTTGCCCACAGTACAGGAGTGGCTCTTATACAGGCAGAGTGTGTGAAATGAGTGAACACAGATATCCTAAGAAGGGGAGCTTGAAGGGTGGAGCTGTAGCTCAGCAGTAGAGCGCTTGCTGAGGATTCCTGAAGTTCTGGGTTTAGTTCCACTACTATATTACTTTTTGAAATTTCTCTTTACCCAGAACTAATTGAATGGTGGTACTTTAATGAAATAGGAATAGTCTTAATAGGCTTAGTTGTTTTGGCACTTTGAAGATGTACCACCTACTTCACCATTCACTCAGTTGCCAGTGTTCCACTTTGACTCCCATAACCAGTGATCATCCCCAGGTCTGGTGGAACTTGAATGACAGCATGTCTGCTATCTGTCACATGCCCATGGCTCTCAGAAGCCCCTGCTTGTGTCTTTGCATCTGCTTTCCTGAGATGTAGCTCACTTCCTTTTTCAGTCTTGATTTTTAATAATTTCTAGGAATGTAATATCACTTGAAGCATTTCTGCTACTTAGTTTCCGTTATATTAGTATGATTGTTATATAATAATTATAGTTGTTATTCTTATATTCTCAAAAGTTAGATTTTCTATTAAATTTGTCTATAGATCTGATAATTATTCTTGATTAATTTATGAGACGGCATCTCTCTAGGTTGCCTGAGCTGCCTTGGAGCTAACTCTGTGGCCCAGACAATCTTTGAGCTTGCAGGGCGCCAGCTGCAGTCTCCGGGTAGTGGGATTCCAGGACTGCACTGTTCGTTCTAGCTCATACCATGTGTTTGGAAAGAATAATTTGCAGATGAGTTTCATGTTTGCTATATCTGCTTGTATTATTCTCTTATTATATAGAACACAGTGTGCTCCTGATTTTACCAGAAATCCCACTTTATTTACTATGATGCTGTCATATCTTATTTTATGGTCATAATATACCTTACTTCTGCATATATTATAAACATAACGACATCTATTAATTATTTTTCTTTTTGCTTTAAACAATTATTTTTAAAATAAATTAAGAGCAACATTGGTATTTATATTTTCTCATATTTCTTATATTTTTTTCACTTATTTCTGCCTAAATTTTACCTAGGCAAGAAGCAGCATGACCCTTTTCTGAATCTCACAGGAAGTTCTAGAGCATTTGTATGTTTGTTCTCTATGACCTTACACTGTGCACACTAGATTTCCTCTGTCAAATCTGTTTTATGGCAAGGATTGCCGTTCATTACATTTTAAATATCTCCTGGCAGTAGCCACAGAAATATGAACAAGGCAGGCACTGGCCACTCAGTAGATAGTTGAGATGGCTGGATTGTGTTCCTGTGTGTGAACGACACAGCAGTACTGGGCTGAACCTTGCTGCAGCTCCTGCAGTTTCTTCCCATGGCTTATTCCATCCTTGAGCTGGCACTCCTGAAGAAGCGCATTGAAACCCAGGTGTCTGTGTACTCACTCTACAGCAGAAGCATCATAAATCATAGTTGTCATTTTTATCATCACTTAGTTACAGGTCTAAGTTTATTCAGAAACCAACTGATATTCCTTTAAAACTTGAACACCAACTTTTTTTTTTTGAGTGTGTAGTGTGTGCATGTGCATGCATGTGCAAGCATGTATGTGTGTAGAAGAGTGTTGAATATGTGCCAGGAGGCTAACGGATGACAGGTGTTCTACTCTCACTCTCCGCCTTATTCCCTGAAACAGTCGCTTACTGAACCTAAGCTAGGGTGGAGGCTAGCAAGTCCCAGCCATCTCCTTGCCTCTCCTCCCACCTCTTGCCAAGTGCTGGGGTCACAGGCTCACAGGGCTATGACATTTGACCTCAGGTCTTCATGTGTGCATCAAGAGTTGTAAACCACTGAGCCATCTCCCTAACCTAGCATTGTTTTAGAAGTAGCCCTGTGAAAAGTAGGCCATCCAGAAATACCTTCAGCCCTTCCACAGAGCACTCACACTCTTTTGGCTCTCTAGTGCTGGAAGCCACCATATCCAGGATCTGGCTGGCCCCAGCCTCCCCATTGAGTCTGGTTAAGATGAACCCTAGTGGCACTTACAAGTCTCACTCAGGTTGGTGAGAGAAAGAAGGAGGCCAAATGGGCCAAGACAGAAGGAGAGAAAAGTGAGATTCCAGCAACTTCTCTGGCCTTTCAGGGAGTACACTGAAGTTTTAGAATGGGCTCCACACTTGCTGTCTCCTTGAAGGGAGTAGCCAGCTGGAGCTGGCCCAATGCCTGCCTTCCTGCCTTGCACTTAAGGGCCTAGCACACTGCTGTGTGGGTTGTATGTTTCACTGGATCCCCAGGACTGGCTCTCCATGTGCATGAAATAAAGCTTCAGTGGGCCTCCTTTAATACTGCCACCCACCAGATACTGGGCTGTCATCCATTTGTTCTTTCGTGCCTGGAGACAGCCAGAAGAGTATTCAGAAGCTTGACAGCTATTCCCTTCATCCCATACAGAATACTAAAATTTGAATAAAATAGTAATGTATTTCCCAATAATGTAATTATTCGCTCTGAAATGAACCCCTATTCTGGCAGCTGGATCATTACTGATCATTTGCGATCTGGTGTCCTATTGTATTTTACCTCAGAACAACTTGGCTTCTCTGTCAATGGTTTGTTTGTTTCTTGAGACAAGGTCTTGCTATGCAGTTCTGACTCTCATGGAAGTCATTGTGTAGATTGGGTTGACCTTGAATCTGTGCTGATCCTCCTGCTCTACCTCCTGTGTGCTGGGATTACAGGTGTGCAGCTCCACATGCCATTGCCACATATGACTAGTGTTCGTTTTCATAAACATTGTTTTCATTTGTATATAACTCTGGAATCTCTAAGGTTCTGATAATAAAAAAGCTGAAATACCAAACAATTAGGACATGTAAATACCATTCTGTATTGCTCATATTTCACACAGTGTAATACCTAAAACTGAAATTTTATCTTGTAATATTTATGTGTTTTAGAATTAACATTAAATGTCTTTGTTTTTTGACACTGATATAAAGTTGACTTCTTAGAAAGACCTTTTCAAGTGTTTTGGATTTTAGAACACCAGACTTTAGCAGGTAACCAAGTGAATGATTGCTTTTCTTAAGTAGAAATGTAATTTGAAAGATAGAAAATGGAAAACTGCAACAGTGCGTCTCACTTCAGTATGACCAGTGTCAGGAGGTGCTGCTGCTGTTGCTTCTTGTGTTGGAAAGTCACTCTGTAATTCATAGTTTCTGCCTTATGTTTTTGTGTATTACTACAGCTAAAGAAGTAAACAGGTCATGGCACGTTTAACAAAAAGACGACAGGCGGATACAAAAGCTATCCAACATCTTTGGGCAGCCATTGAAATTATAAGGAATCAGAAGCAAATTGCCAACATTGACCGTATTACAAAGTAAGTAAATTTAAACAAACAACGTAACTGTCAAAGTTCCCAAATGCCTTTATCTCTTATGCTATTCATACGTTATAAGAACTAAAGTCATTTTGCCTTCCAGAAGAATACAGAAAAGAAAAAATAACAGAAACATGTATAGACAATTTGTATTTAGAAGCCTTGTAAATAAATACTAGATAAGTAAGTAAAAGATCAGTCTATTCTGTTTATAGTAGTTTTTCAATTATATATTTTTTGGCTCTTAGAAACTTTTATTTAAAAAGCTTGTTAGTAACATGTTTTATTGTAGTGAAACTATCTAAATAAAATCTATTGCTCATGGCTTATTTCAAAGTTACAATGAACATGCTTTTTTCTAGTAAATACTATTTTTGAGTACTTTATAACTCACTAGCAGAAATTAGCTTGAATACACATTCAGTTTAAAAAGAAAATTCCCCTTTCTTCTTAGTTTCTAATGCTATTTGTTTTAGTAGACCAAGATTCAATGTAGGAACAAAGCAAAACAACAACCAAAACCAAACTACCTAATAGATCTTCTTTTTACTTACTTTGTACTGTGAAGGAGTCTTCAGTTAGGACTTTGATTTTATTTATTTCTCCAGATGCTTTTTAAAAAATAAAGCTAATGTTACATTTTAAAAAGCTTATCTGATTTTTACATGTTAACTGAAATAGAATTTCTTTATGCTTATCCTGCCCTCCATTTACTAGATGGTGTCTATAAAAATGAAAGGCCAGCTGACCTCTAAAGACTGACTTCCATAGTGCTTTGGGACATTATTAATACATGATACAGTTGAGCCCCATGCACATCTACATGGTCCCCAGATGTGAAGACAATGAGGCTAGCTAAGATGGAAGGACCAGGAGATTGGCAGGAAGCCAACTGCAGCCCTGCCTCCTGTGGGCTAAAATAAAAAACAATTTCCAAAAATAAATAGTACATTGCTTTAATTATTACCTAATTGTTGTTTATTTTTAAAAAGCAACCATTTTGAGGTATGGTAATTAAGTACAGAATAGGGTGATGAGTTTTAATAAATCTCAGGCTATGTCTGTAACATAGGTCAGTGTTAAAAGCACATACCTTTCAAAGGTGAGGCCTATTTTATTTTTTTGTTGTTGTTGTTTTGTTTTTTGGCTTTTGGTTTTTTGGTTTTTTTTTTTTTTTTTTTTTTTTTTTGGTTTTTCGAGACAGGGTGTCTCCGTGTAGCTTTGCACCTTTCCTGAAACTCACTTGGTAGCCCAGGCTGGCCTTGAACTCACAGAGATCCGCCTGGCTCTGCCTCCCGGTTTTTGGTTTTTTGAGACAGGGTTTCTCTGTGTAGTTTTGTGCCTTTCCTGGAACTCGCTCTGTAGACCAGGCTGGCCTCGAACTCACAGAGATCCGCCTGCCTCTGCCTCCCAAGTGCTGAGATTAAAAGCGTCTGCCACCACTGCCCAGCGAGGCCTATTTTCAATTCCCTTCACTGGGAAATAAATCTCAAAGAATAATAAAAAAAAATACTAAATATGTCCTTGAGATAGCTGAAATGTTTGTAGCAGAGCATTGAAATTAGAAAAAAAGATACTGTTGTTTGGATTGAAATTTTAAAGCATGTAATTTTGAACAATTTCAGTTTCTCAGACATACTTCTTTTTCTTCTATGGAGTGTCTGTTGAGCAGCTTAGGGCACCCACCAAGAACCTCAGGAGTATCATGAGTGCTGCTGCTGGGTTGGGTGACGTGCTGATGTAGGAGGAAGAAGATTAATGCCTGTATTGATGGTGCATGTATCTGCTGGCTACTTAAGACCTGTGCGCGTATATTTGTGCATATGTGAAACTAGCAAAAGACCCAGAGGTGGTCATTGGGACCTCACACATCTCCTTTTCACTATGGATCATTGACAAGATTTCTCTTTTCTCCTTTCTTCATCAGTGTAACTTTGAATGGTGACCAAGCCATATTTTTCTTTATTTCTTAAGTTCTATAATTCTTAAATATGAATACATTCGCTTACCTGTCAAATGGTCATGGATCTATAAGTCTGATCTGAAGATGGAAGCAGAGGACCACCTAGGAATTGCCCAATCTAGTGCCCTTGCTTCTTGGCTGAAGTCAGTTCCCTTGATGTCCCCTTGTCCGAGGTTGGCTGGGAAGTGCCGTTAGTGGTGATGGAAAGTAGGTCTGCTGCTGTGTGGTCTGGGACTCCTGCTCTGCACCCTTAGGTCAGGACTTCTTACACTTTCCATAAAGTTTAAATCAAGCTACTTGGCGTAGTTCATGTCAGAATACGCAGGTATCTTTTAAACTTTGAAACTACCTTAGGTTGCCCAAGCCCACAGCTGAGTTCTCGTCAAGACCTTGTTTTCTATCTGTGCTAACTGGTGAGCAGCCCCATTATTTAGTCATGCACTAAGTGTTACGACCTTTGAGGTTACTGCCTTATGGCCTGGTATATTCTTAAGTATCTTGTCTAACTCTGCGTAATGGTGTGGTTCTGCCTGCTTTTTATTTTTATTATTTTAATCTATAAATTCCACAGCCATCATTTTATTGTTGTTCTCCCTTGGGATTTTTACTAAGGAAACTGGTTTACTTGTTCTGCAGTTCCCATGCTCTGGTTGTGCTGGTCATATCACTGTGGTCTAGTAACTCAAGTGTGACCCCAGTCCTGAATTTCATGGAATGGGGAGAGTTGTATCTAGAGACTGTAGGCAGACTCTGTAGGTGATGCTGTGCTCTACTGTAGGAGGCACATGTTAATTATTTCTCCTTTGGTGACATTTGTAGCCATTCATGTTAGACCTGAGAAGTTAGGAACAGTGGTAATAGTCTGTTTTATCTTTGTGAGTCTTCCAGCTAGAGCACTTTCCTCAATACAAGCTTCCCTGCGTCTGCCATGTGGCTGCCATACATAGGTCACCACAGAAAAGGATGTTTCACTTTACTGCTTTTAAAGATAACACACACATACACACACACACACACACACACACACACACACACACACACACACACACACACACACACCCGAGACAGGGTTTCTCTGTGTAGCTCTGGCTATCCTGGAACTCACTCTATAGACCAGGCTGGCCTCAAACTCAGAGATCTGCCTACTTAAGCCTCCTGAATGCTGGGATTAAAGGTGTGCATCACCACTGCCTGGCTAAATATGGCATTTTTTTTTTTTTTTTTTTTAAGATTTTACAGTGTTCTACTGGCATGCATGCCTTCATGCCAGAAGAGGGCACCAGATCTCATTATAGATGGTGGTGAGCCACCATGTGGCTGCTGAGAATTGAATTTAGGACCTCTGGAAGAGCAGCCAGTGCTCTTAACCTCTAAGCCATCTCTCCAGCCCCTAAAAAATGGCATTCTTAGTAGATGACTGTGGACTTCCTAAGAACCATTTGGAATTCAAACACCAAATGTTTGACATGCTTCCATCCATACCCCTTATAACCTAATGTTATCATACACTTCTGTACACGCTTGCATACATACCATGGTTTATTTTTATTTGGTATGCTGGATTTTATCTTTCTGTAGTGTATCTGTGATTTCTTTTGTTCTTTTTATTTTAGTTTTGATATTTCTCTGCTTTGCAACTTGGTCTGGCAGTGGCGTGGTCTGCTCTCTGTTCTCTTGGACTTTACTTCTGAAGTGCTTTTCATTTACTTTAAGTTTTTGACTCATTTTTGAGGTTTATCTACTTCTGATTGACAGTTTTTGTAGCTTATTGACTTCCTGTCTTACTTTGCATTTGAAATAGTGGATTATGGTTTTCCTGTTTTGCAGGTGACTATTCTGACTGTGTTCTACCTCTTTAGCCACAGTGCTTCATTTGGATTTGAATCTCTTCTTGAATTTACATTAGATGTATGTCTCTGAAGTTCCTTTTCATGCCATTTTTTAATTGACAGAAATATGGTTTCCACAGCACATACAGAAAATCTTTTTACCTGACTCCAGCAGTGTTGGTGTTTTAATTCCTAGCATTGTATTAAACATGGGGCTTTTTTCCTGGAAGGGAGCTTTAGCTATTTAATTTGAGCATCTACAGTACATATTATTCTCCTTCTCTGTGAGTGTGTGAAATTCCTTCTGGTTGTCACTACTCTTCTGAGACTGTCCTTGGCTTTGTAGTGAGAAGCTATTGGCTTAGATCATGTATTTTTTTAAAGATTTATTTATCTTTATTTATGTATATGAGTTTCTGCCTGTGGTAATTTGTACTCTGTGGGCATGACTGGTGTCTGTGGAGGCCAGAAGAGGGCCCAGATCCCCTGAACTAGAGTTAAACTGGCCCATGGATGCTGAGACCTGAATCCATGTACTCTACAAAAGCTATTAACCACTGAGCCATCCCTCTAGTCTTTCGACTGTCCATCCTCTTGGGCAACCCTCCATAGCTGGTAGTGCCAAGTGCATTTGTAACTCTGGGAAGGTTGTCATCATCTGCTTAGAAACAGGACAGAATCTGCCTAAGGAATGGAAAGGGGCTTCTGAAGAGATGTTGTCAAGGTATAATCTCAAGTAAACTTTGACCTGTCAATAAAACTATTTTTACATTTGTAGGAACTGATGTTTAATTATCATAAAATTCATATGAATTGTTATTTTATTATAAATAAGACTAGAGAGTTTAGATTATCTGAGAAGATTGCTAGGAAAGATCTCTCTCCACCTTGCAGTATCTGTAAGTGTATGGGACAGTAGGTATATGTGCATGGACCTCTTCTGTGTAGTTTGGATAGATGCTCTTATGACAAACCTTGGAAACATTTGGCCTCTAACATTTATATTAAACAAGCATTTTGAAAACATTTATGTGTTTAAGATGCTGTGCATTAGTGTTAAATCAAGACACAAAAGATGAAGAATCCTGTGACTAGGAGCAGTCACAGAAGTAAAACTTAGACTTTGAACCTCTGAACTGTAGCGGTTCCTAACTCATTGTTCTTGGGACTTCAAATGCTGTGGGCATTATATGCTGCAGGAAAAACAG